GGCTCAGGCAATCCACTCATCTCGGCCTCCCAAAGTACTGGGATTACAGGCTGAGCCACCGAGCCCTGCCTAAGGCATGGATTTAAGACCCTGGTTTAAGGCATGGTATACAGGAACCTGCTGACTTGAATCCTGTTTCTGCCACTTACTAGCTGACCTTGGGTGAGTTATTCAACCCTCAGGTGCCCCGGAGATGAGGAAAAGAGTGTAGTGTCAGATGGGCTTGGTGGTTCACGCCTGTCACCCCAGCACTTTGGGAGGCCGAGGTGGGAGGATCTCTTGAGCCCAGGCATTCAAGACCAGGCTGGGTACCATAGCGAGATCTCATCTCTGCAAAAAAATAAAAAGATTAGCTGGGTGTGGTGGCAAATGCCTGTAGTCCCAGTTACTTGGGAGGCTGAGGTGGAAGGATCGCCTGAGCCCAGGAGGTCGAGGTTGTGATGAGCTGTGATTGTGCTGCTGCACTCTAGCCTGGGCAACAGAGCAAGACCTCAACTCAAAAAAAAAAATAGTAATCGACCTTGGAGGAGTGTTGTGAGAATTAAATGGCTGCTCTATGTGAAGCGCCTGGAATACGCCCGGCACCCAGAAAGTCCTACCAATGTGTTTGCTGACCTCTGTTCCCCCTACAATCCACCACAACCAGGTCAAGTGGTGGAGATTCAGCACAACCTCTGTCCATCTCCTAAATAAGTCCTTAGATTCCACTTCCCTTGTCAGGAAGCCGCTGCTCTGGGGAAAAGAAGGTTAATGACCAAGTGTTCGTGCAGTTGGCTCAAGGTCACCAGGGGAGGTGAAGGGCAGGGCCAGGGGCGGAAGGAAGGAGGAGGCACATGACCCTCCCCTATGCAGGTGTGGCACAGCCTGGGCACACAGAAGGCTCAGGGACTATCGGTGCATCTGGCAGGGGCAGGCAGAACAATGGCCCCCAAAAGTGGCCAAGTCTTTGAAGATATCACCTTACACAGCAAAAGGGAGGCTGAAGTGGAAGGATCGCCTGAGCCCAGGAGGTCCAGGCTGTGGTGAGCTGTGATTGTGCTGCTTTGCCATGTGATTTTTTGTTGAGTCGGAGTCTCACTCTGTCACCCAGCCTGGAGTGCAGTGGCACACTCACAGCCACTGCAGCCTCGACCGGCTGGACTCAGGTGATCCTTCTGCCTCAGCCTTCCAAGTAGCCGGAACCACAAGCATGTGCCACCAAGTCCAGCTGATTTTTTTATTTCTTGTAGAGATAAGGTCTTGCTATGTTGCTCAGGCTATTCTGGAGCCCCTGAGCTCAGGTAATCCTCTCGCCTCCACCTCCCAAAGTGCTGGGATTACAGACAAGAGCCACTGTGCCCGGCTCACCGTGTGATTAAGTTAAGGATCTTGAGATGGGTGATGATCCCGGGGCACCTGGGCGCGTCTAGGTAGCCACAGGGTCTTTGTGACTGGGACGCAGGAGAACCAGTGTGAGAAACAGGGAGATGACAGGGCAGAAGCCAGAGTGAGACGCCTGAGGATGAAGAAAGGGGCCGCAAGCCAAGGAAGACAAGCAGTGCCCAGAAGCTGGAAAAAGCAGAGACACAGATTTTTCTCTGGAGCCTCCTGGAGGAAGGAGCCTTCCTGACACCAGCTGATTTGAACTCAGTGAGACCCACTTCTCACTGCTGACCTCCATAACTGCAACCAGTGTTAGCCACAGTAACATCTACATGCCACCATCATATTCTATTACACTGTATCCATATGTGTCCATAATATTGTATTATCCAGTATTCTATTTCTACTTCTTTCTTTTCTTTTCTTTTTTAGTTGGGACCTCACTCTGACACCCAGGCTGGAGTAGAGTAGCATGATTATGGCTCATGGCAGCCTCGACCTCCTGGGTTCAGGCGATCCTTAGGACTCAGCCTCCCAAGTAGTTGGGGCTACAGGTACGCACCATCACATCTAGTTAATTTTGAGATTTTTTTGTTGTTTGTTTGTAGAGACAAGATCTCGCTATGCTGCCCAGGCTGGCCTCGAATTCCTGGGCTCAAGCAATCCTCCCGCCTCAGCCTCCCAAAGTGCTGGGATGATAGCCATGAGCTGCCTCGCTGCCCTTTTTTTTCCTTTTCTCGATGAAGTCAGTGCTGGGGGAGCTGGTTCTTGCCTCTGAGCTGACACGGGAAATCTCATGCTACCTCCATGCCTGCTAAAAAGGCTCTCCCAGGAAGCCCTGGAAGACCGCCTCCTTCACCTGCTCTCAACACCAACAGTCCTCAAATTCCTCATCTGAGCCCATAAGGCCTTCCGCTCCCCGGCCTCATTGTCCAGCCTGGTACCACTCACTCTCCTCCAGCCTCACTGACACTGTGTTCCTTGAACACACCAAGCACACTCCCCCCTCTGGACCTCTGCACGTGCCATGCCTTCTGCCTAGAATGCCTCTCCCCAGATCTCTCTGTGGCCGTCTCCTATACTTCTTTCAGATCTCAGCCCAGAGGCCAACTCCTCAAGGACGTCCTCCTGACTGTCCCATCTATGAGACCACCACTCTAGCCAGTCTCTCGTCTCCCTGGTTTTTTCCTTCATAAAATTTATCACAAGTTGATATATTTTTTTTTAAATCCCCTTCTCATGCTAACATGGCATCAGCCCACAGAGTAGCTGCTAGCCACACGTGGGTGCTGAGTACTTGCCATGGGGCTGGTCTGAGTAGAAATGTGCAGCAAGGGTTAAATATGCAATTTTAAAGCTGCAGCAGGAAAAAGAAGAATGCAGAGTGTCTCAATGATCACTTTTTACACTGATAACACATATTTTGTTTTTTGAGCTGAGGTCTCACACTGTCACCCAGGTTGCGGGGCAGTGGCACAATTCACCACCGTCTCAACCTCCTGGGCTCAGGTAACCCTTAGGCTTCAGCCTCCCAAATAGCTGGGACTACAGACACGCGCCACCACAATCAGTTAATTTTGTGATATTTTTTGTAGCAACAAGGTCTCGCTGTGTTGCCCAGGCTGGCCCTAACTTCTGGGCTCAAGCAATTCTCCTGCTCTGGCCTCCCAAAGTGGTGCTGGGATTACAGGCATGTGCTACCTCACCTGGCCTTGATTAGATATTAAAACAAAAATATTGTGGGTACGCTAGGTTCTATAAGATATATTCAAATCAACCTCTTCTTTCTTTTTAGTAATACAACAAGCTCCATATTCTATGGGACAGCATGGCACTAAAAGATCAGGCCCAGGAAAGCCAAGACCTCATGTGTCATGGCCACTGTCTCCTCAGTGCTCTGGGCAGTACCCAGCACATAGCAGGTGCTCAATAAATATATCTGCTGCATGAATGAATGAATGAACAGCATAGGCTGTTGACATGATAGGCAGTGGCATTGGCCCAGTCACTGCTTCCTACCATCACTGATGTGTTTTCCTTGTCTTCCCCATGGCCTTCCTGCTGCCTGACACGAAGCCTTGCTTACGCCACACCTAGGAGGGCGCTCTGCATGCCATGACCCGTCAACAGGGCTGCAGACTGAGCAAAAGACAACGTGATAGGAGCACTCAGCTGGTTCTGCAGTGGAGCATGACACTCTGACTCTAAGAACACGAAGTGACTGCGGCCCGTGTCTGAGTGACATGGAGTGATTGAGGGGAGTCTGCTGGCAGGAGAAGGAGGAGAAAGAGAGGGCGTGTGCTTTACTGGAGCCCTATTTATTGAAAGAGAGAGAAGGAACAAGGGAGGGAGAGAGGGTAGGAATAGGGTGGAGGGGATGGGCAGACAGACAAGACCAAGCACATGCTGAGAAGATTTTGGTGGAAAATCACCTTGAAGAGCCTTCGAAGCTACAAAAGACCCCCAAAATTCAGACAGGCATCCCACCATCCTAAGCACATGAGTGAAAAGGGTCTGGGGAACAGGAGTGTGTCCTCAGATTCATGACATGTCATCCTCAATGTTTACAAACAAGCCCTGGCCCGGAACACAGGGTGTTTGCTTCCCAGCTGATCACATTCCAGAAGCAACAAGTGCAGCAGGCTGGGAATTCCACCCGGCTCAGGCCCTGGGCCTCCAAGGGCTCCCGGGGGTGTCTCGACTCACAGCCCAGCCACGACTGAACCAGACAGCTGGGGTGTAGGGCACAGGTGCCGGGACGTCTGTGGGACCTGGGCGAAGCCCTTTGGGCCCTGTTAATAAGAGGCAGCGCCTGAGAAGATTACAGAAGTCCCTTCCCTCCCAGGCCCTCCAGGAGAGACGGAGACATCTGGGGGAGGGAGTAGGGGTGCCTGGGGTGGGAGGGGTGCCCCAACTTCAGCCGGTAAGCCCCTCTGTGAAAGTCTCTGCAGGCCTAAAAATACTAGTTAACACTTGTAAACAGGCTCTGTCCCGAGCACTGAGTTCTTTCATCCCCACCACAGCCCTACAAGGTGTACTATTATTACCCCATTTTATAGCTTGGGAAACAGAGGCACAGAAAGGATAGGTGATTTGCCCAGGATCACACAGCCTGCTGGCAGTGGGGTCTAAAACCAGCGCCCAGCTCCTAGGAATCTTGAAATTGACCACAGGACAGAAGCCTCTTCCAGCTCCCAGTGTGACCTTGGAAATGCTGCCCAGCCCCTGGGAGCTTGAGTTTCTTCCCGCCCCCAGGGTACATGGACCCACGGGACAAGCACAGTCAAGCCTGCCAATAGTGTCCTTAACCCCCGCACACTCGCCCTCATCAAGGCAGTAGCCCGGCCCTTCTTCTAGAAAACATACAGATCTGTCAAGGTACACAATAGGCGATGGCCAACCAGAGAGCTTCAGCGAGGTCAACTGTGTTTCCTGAGGCTGCACAGCATGCCAGAGACGCCTCAGGCACTCTGAGCCTTCAAGGAAAGGTGTTTCCTCCCATGCTCAGTCTGAAGGGTCTGCCAGGAGCATCCCTGGGCTGAGGTTAGGGCAGGAAACCACATGTCTCCCACTTCCTTTTCCCCAGGAACCTCGGCTGGACTTCCCGCCTGGTGGGGAGGCCCTGATTCAGAGAGACTCCAGTTTCCCAGGACAGAGGCTTGGCCTTAAAGCTGCCCCAAGGCACTCCCTTGCCCCAACTCAAACAGGGTGGGGAGGAGGCTATGGCTGGGACTCTCTAACCTCTAACTTGGGACAAATCCCTCACCCGACCCTGACCCTCAGATTCCTCATCTGTAAAACGAAGGTAAGCCTACCTCACAAAGTTGGGTGAGGGTTAAAGATAAAATCAGGGAGGGCAGAACACCTCAGGCACAGGTTGATAAACGCCCATAATCCCAGCACTTTGGGAGGCCTAGGCAGGAGGATCTTGAGCCCAGGAATCAGAGACCAGCCTGGGCAACATAGCGAGATCTCATCTCTATAAAACTAAAAAAATTAGCCGGTCATGGTGGCGCACCCCTGTCGTCCCAGCTCCTGGGGAGGCCGAGGCCAGAGGATCACCTGAACCTGGAAAGTTGAGGCTGTGGTGACCCACGGCCAGGCCACTGCACTCTACCCCTGAGGGGCGGAGAAAGACCCTGACTCAAATAAATAAAGGGAACCTTAGAAAGAAAGTTACAAATATGAACCCAGAGACTGGGGGAGTCAACAAATTCATTGGCTGGAGGTCACAACCCCTTTGCTCTGGGGACTTTCAGGGGGGATGAAACAAGGGGCCTGGTGTCATCTCTTCTTGGGTAACACTGCAGGGCAGGGGGCTTATTGCATTTCAGGACAAGAATCTTACCTAAGCGCTTAACCTATACCATCCACTGGGTTCTTCCAAGGTGGGTCCTATCATGATCGCCATTTGACAGGGGAAAAACTAACACAGAGAGAGGTTAAGCGACTTACCCAAAGGCCCCCAGCTACTAAGTGGTAAAGGTGGGACTGGAACTCCGGACAACTGCTCTCAACCTCTCGGGCGGTAGACGCGGGGGGCCTCCCTCCCGTCCAGCCCCCGCACACGCACACGGCGCGCGCCCCCAGCTGCCCGGCGCGGCAGGGCCCTGGGGTCCCCGCGGCCCCTGGCCGGGAGGGGCAGACCGAGGCCGCCGCCCACCTTCTGGTGCTTGCGCTCCTTCTCGATGCGGTCCACCCTCTCCAGGCGCAGGCGGTCCAGCTCCAGGCGCAGCTCGTCCAGCTCGGGCGCGACGTGGTGGCGGCTGACCAGCACCTCCAGGATCTCCAGGACGCGCACGACCTTGGGCATGAGGCGCGCGATGGCCTCGCAGCCGTGCTGGTCGATGACCCGCTCGAACTCGTGGCCCACGAGCGACGCGATGTCGTACACGTCCATGACGGTCAGCTCGGCCACGTTCTTCTCCAGCGCCGACTCGGCCGCGGGCGCCGACCCC